CAAGTGGTCAGCGGCACGCGATAGAAGGGAATATCCCGTCCATACAGGTCGAGTAACTTTCCAAGATTTTCCATCCCCTGCTCAACATCCACGTTCCCCCAGACAGCCAGGATGGCCAGAATCTCTACTTCTGGATGCGTCATGGCGCTCATGATTCCAATGGCATCATCTCCTCCACAGTCTGTGTCGATAATGACCTTCCGTCGCACCATCACTGTTGGAAGGAGAAATTTACTACTAGCCTCAATACCCCCTTTTTGCTTCTTCCTTGATCTTCGCACCGCGTCCTCCACGCCCCTTGTTTACTTGCTCTTTTAGTATCCTTGGTGTGCACGTATGCCTGAATGCTTGCGCTTCACCTAAAGAGGGTTCCTTTTCTACTTTATCAAAAAACGGCAATGACCCACGCACACTGTGCAAGAGACAAAAGACAACACACATGCTTATATCCTCTCCATCACCCAATCCCACTCCTTCTCCCCCATTGACACAGGCGAACAAACAAAGAAGACATGTCCCCACCCAACTGTTCATCGGAAAAGGCTGGGAGATTCAAAGAGGGCACTTGCCAGCGCACACGACAAATCGGTATACATACATAAATACACACAAAAAACAAATGCCACTCATCCACGGATGCAAAAGAAAAAAACTGCTTCACGTCAGATTGCCATTTGTTAATGGGTCTCAGCAGTGAGGGGGGCGCATTCATCTCCATCTTCCCTGGGGAGGACAAATACGTGTTGCCAGACTCTCCCATGAGAACTCCAAAACAACAACAACAACAACCCTCGCTAGTTCGTTTTGCACCTGCGGTCTAAAATAACGCCCATCCCGAAAAGAAGTTCTTACGCATAGGGTAAATGCCTGGCATCCGGAGAAAGAGGAATATAATCAACGCCTTGTCTGGAACCGCACAAGACCCTCTCTCTCTAAAAGAACCCAGAAAAAAAAAAGAACAGAATAAGCCAAATTATATCCACCTTTTTGAAAGCATCAAAAAGAGCGCGTTCTAAACTCGGCATTACCCTGCAAGATGGCAGGCTGCTGCTCCTGTGACTCTTTTCATGCCCTTCTATCGCGCAGGCCCAATTAAAGCGCCACCCCATCGCTACTTCTTCAGGCCGTGTAGACGATAGTGTGTGTAGTAATTCTCCTTGGGATAATTCCCACCGTACCGCCACAGAAGGTACCCGTCCCTCTCTGGTGACGCATTTTGTGGAACTCCAGGACTCGCTGATGCACCTCGTCCTCTACCAACTCTACTTGCCTGGTAAGCCCGTAACATTTCCTGTATTTGCTCGTACGATGTCTTGCGGAATGTTGCCGGTTTTACCTTCGCTTCCTTGCGGACACACGTTGAAGGCACACGCCCTGGTTGCTCTTTCGGCTTCGTTCCAGCTCGGGCAGCGTCAAAAAACCTCGCCTTGGAGCGAGTATCTGCCCTCTCTATTCGAATCTTGGCTTCTTGAATGGCGCGTCGACATTGCTCAACACTTTGGGTTTCATCTGTAACGACAGCTTCATTGAACGGTGGAGATTGAATGAGTGTAAAGGCCGTGCTGTCGTCATTACGGAGTAGACCAACATCGTAACGACCCAAACAGTGCAGGCTCTTCGCGACAGAATTCATCATTGTGCCCACATCATAGTTACTCAAAAAGAACAGCTTGCAGATGGTGTCTCTTACCACATCGTCTAAATCCAGGTAATGGTCACCTGCAGCGCTTTTGAATTGCTGTATTGCGGCTTCCTCGAGACTACGTCGTGCTTCCTCATGAATGGCCTGTTGAGACGGAACACCGATCCCCGCCGGTAAGGATAAAGCTATTGATGTCCCCGTGAAAGGTGCCGCAACTGATAACTGAGGCACGGCACCAGACGGTACAGAGACCACTGGAGGAACACTACTTGCAGAAAGCGGCGTTGCTGTTGGTGGTACTGGCACTGCTGCTGTTGGTGGTGCTGGCACTGCTGCTGTTGGTGGTGCTGGCACTGCTGCTGTTGGTGGTACTGGCACTGCTGCTGTTGGTGGTGCTGGCACTGCTGCTGTTGGTGGTGCTGGCACTGCTGCTGTTGGTGGTGCTGGCACTGCTGCTGTTGGTGGTACTGGCACTGCTGCTGTTGGTGGTACTGGCACTGCTGCTGTTGGTGGTGCTGGCACTGCTGCTGTTGGTGGTACTGGCACTGCTGCTGTTGGTGGTGCTGGCACTGCTGCTGTTGGTGGTGCTGGCACTGCTGCTGTTGGTGGTGCTGGCACTGCTGCTGTTGGTGGTGCTGGCACTGCTGCTGTTGGTGGTGCTGGCACTGCTGCTGTTGGTGGTACTGGCACTGCTGCTGTTGGTGGTACTGGCACTGCTGCTGTTGGTGGTACTGGCACTGCTGCTGTTGGTGGTGCTGGCACTGCTGCTGTTGGTGGTGCTGGCACTGCTGCTGTTGGTGGTGCTGGCACTGCTGCTGTTGGTGGTGCTGGCACTGCTGCTGTTGGTGGTACTGGCACTGCTGCTGTTGGTGGTACTGGCACTGCTGCTGTTGGTGGTGCTGGCACTGCTGCTGTTGGTGGTGCTGGCACTGCTGCTGTTGGTGGTGCTGGCACTGCCACTGTTGGTGGTACTGGCACTGCTGCAACAGGTGGTGGTGGTATCGACATATGTGGGAGTGACTTTGTAAGGAATAAAGAAAAGGGAGGAAGAACAAAAACAGTCGCACGGCCCCACAAAAGTCCCGCGAAAAAACAAACAGGAGGGCATCTCTCTTCCTTCGGCGTCGATGCATTCTCCATGTATTGGAATAACTGCACATGACCACAGACACACGCACTGTTCTTATTCCCCCTATTCAGCTTTCAGTTGACCAGAATCATACGCCTTCTTTGTTTTGGGGTCACGGAGGATTTTGTAGGCATTAATGATTCTTTGCATTTTGTTCTTGACATCGTCGTCGTTGCGATGAGCGACATCGGGGTGGTGGTGCCGCGCGGCCTCACGGAACGCCTTCGCAATTTCTTTTGCCGTTGCGCTCAGCTCTCTTCCACTGAGACCCAGCAGCTGGTAGTATCCAAGCGGGTCGACGTTCTCCAGGTCTGTCCGTCGTCTGTTCTTCGGGTCAACTTGCCTCTTGCCTCGGGCCTCATCACGCGCAGCCTCTTCCTTCACCCGCTGCTCAAATGCCTCCTTTCTCCGTGCTCGCTGCCGCAACTCCTCGCGGTACTCGTACTCCGCACGCTCCTCGTCCTCGGGCGTCCAGCGATAGCCGTTCTGATCGGAAGAAAAATATAACATGCCGGTTGTCTTGAGTTCAGTCATTTGCCTCGCCTGATCTCTCAGAAAACGTAGTGTGAGCAGGTAGCGTCGCACGTACACGGATACCACCGCGGAGGCAATTGCGGCTGCCGTGGCAATACCGGGGCCCACAACAGGCGCCAACATGAGCAACGCAGTGGCTCCTGAGAGCGTTACGGCACTCATCTTTGCCCGTTGACTGAGGTGCAAGATGGGCCCAACTACTTTGCCTGTCGCACCGCACACGAACGATGGAACAGGCGTGGCGTTTGTCCCGGTTGAAACCGTAAACTTCATCATCGGTAAAAATACTGGCCGAATACTCACGCTCTCCTTGAAAACACTCGTGAGGGTGACGCAACTCCTCACGA